GTATCTAAGAAGAAATAAAAATCTTAATGTATATAAGACGTTTTTAAGGAGAAAAAGAAGAAACTTATTAGATCATGCTTTTTTTTCTTATACAAATAGCAACATGGTTAATTCAGATCCAGTGATATCTCTGTCTGTTTCATTAATAATGATAGTAGTGATAAGAGGCTCTTCCTTTAAATGATAATATTGCTTTCACTTATTCTGAAATCCTCAGGGATTTTGTTTAAAATATGTCTAAGGTGAAAAAGAAGAAACTTATTAAATTATGAATTTTCAATTAAATATCACTAATCTTATTCCGTTTCGATATATTATAAGCTTTTGTTATTATAATGGGCTTTAGATATATAGATTTTAACTCGATAGAATAATATATAGAATTGAATTGTTATTTTATTATAATGACGCTATAATCACTTTAAGTTTTACATATATTGTAATGACACTAATCACTTCGAGAGCTTTATATATCATAATAAAATATATAATTTATTAAGTTAATCATTTTAAGAACTTTACATCATTTTAACAACTTTACATATGTGTAATAAATATATATTGACACTAATATCGCTTCGAGAGTTTTATACATCGTAATTTTATATATCGTAATAAAATAAATGAATATAATGTTGCCTGAGTTTAAAGGTCGGTAACACAAAATGGTTGGTCGTTCAACACGTGATCTGAATATTAAAGACTATAAAAGTTTCGCTCTTAAAATAAATAAATATAATGTTACCTGAGTTTAAATGTTGGTAACACAAAATGTGACAATACAGGATCGGTCGTTCAACACATGATCCAAATGATTTTACTATATTAAAGATTTTTATATAATTACTAATTGTATAAAAAGAACCATCTTGTTAAATAATAAAAGTAATAATTTTTAACAATATAAATCTTTTTAGCCATAATTAATTCTGCTTTATACATAACATAAAACATTTACCATTATTATACAAATTTTAGCTTTTATTAGTGACAGACTTATCAATAATCATTACAAATTTTGATGGTGACTATGAGATCCAATGCTTCATTACTTCTGAAAAATTATCTTGAGAAAGTTTATCTTATGAAAACAATATTATGTTCATAATAATTCAAGAAGTAATAACTAATTTCACTTCAATAATAATGTCTACAAAGGATTCAGCTGCTGGTATATGCTGTTGAAGATAAAGGTTAGACTGATTAGGCTGCAAAATACAATTTTTGTATATTATATCTAATTAAAGCCTCAATCATCAATAATTTTAATAAGCGCAAAGTTTAAGAAATAGAGTTACAGCAGTTATAAAGTTTAGAATAGTTTATAGCAATAAATCATGAGTATAATGTCATAATAATAAAAAGATGAGAGTAATAAATAAATAGACAAGAAGAAGAAAAATAGAATATAATATATAAAATAACAAATAAAATAACAGATAAAATAACAAATAAAATAATAGATAGAGCAATAAATAGAGCAATAGATAGAAGAATAAAAATAATAATAAATTAAATAATAAAGTAAAGAAACAGTGAAAATAGTGGAAAGGAGTACAAAATAAAGAAAAACTGCTCCTAAATTAAATCTTCTTTTTTAGGCTATACAATAGATGCTGTCAAAAAAGAGAAAAACTAATTAAATCTTATCCCAATCCAATACTTGTCATGAGAGAAAAAGAATACCAGAAATAGAGCAAATAGAAAAGGCACCAATGTGAGCGACAGCAACATCACTATCAAAAAAGAGCTGCTCTTACTACTATCACCATTAATAAGGCAGATGGAGATATCACTGGATCTGAACCAGAGAAGATATTTAATAATAGTAGAGAAAATACTAATTATAAGGAAACATCACGAGAACGATGCTTAAGATTGAGAAGGGAAGCTGCAAGACAACGAAATGAAAGAGAAACATTAGAAAACACAGCGGCATGGCTAAAGAAGAGAAGAGAAGCTGCAATACAAAAAAAACAAAATCAAACATCTGAAGATGCTGCAAGGTTCCAGCAATCAAAAAGACAAAGATATACACATATAGTAGATGCTTCTGTTATAAAACCTCCTAATGCTATTTCTCCCGTTGATCCTCTTTTCATTACTGCTATTCCTGCTACTCCTTTACATATTATTTCATTACCAATAATATTGTGTCCATTTCAATCAGGTGATCTGAAGTGACACCAGCTAGATAGAATGGATCGAGTTTGCAGAAATTGTGGTGCCAGCATGTGGTCAAAGGAGAGAAAAAACAAACTCCAGCAGAATGTCACCTATATTTACAAATTGCTGTGTACAAGGCAAGGTTCTTCTTCCAGCTCTGCTAGATCCTCCCCCTATACTACATACACTTCTTACTGGCATTGATATCAAGGCATGTGACTTTCGTCAAAAAATTCGGTCATATAACTCAGCCTTAGCCTTTACTTCTATGGGTGCTAAGATTAATGATCATGTTATGGGTACTGGAGGTATGCTTTTATAATACTTTCTTAACTATTATTATAGTTTTCATGTTTTTATATATCTTTTATGTTTCTCAGGTGTTTATATATTCCAAATCCATGGAGAAATGTATCACAATATTGGATCCCTTCTACCTGCTCAAGCTACAGTATCTCCACATTTTGCTCAGCTTTATATCTATGACACAGAACATGAGGTGTTGAACAGGATGACTATGATACCTTCTCTAAATGCTATTGTGCTTGCAAACTTGCAACAGATGTTAGATCAGGTTAATCCATATGTTGTAGTTTTTTGGCAGGTGCGTGACATATTAATACAAGAACTTACTATAATACTCTCGATGGTGATCAGAGCAGAAAAACTTGCAGATCTACGACGTTACAATATACTAACTGCCAATGAGGTAGTGGCAATTATAAGAAATGAACAAGACCCTGAGCCCTCATATCGTAATATTATACTTAGTCTTCAGGATGGATGTCTGTAACGGATCTCAGAACTGCATAGATTCTACATTCCCTTGCATTATGTATTGTTATTTCCAAGAGGTGAGAATGGTTGGTATCCATGGATTTCCTTTCGAAATATATCATCTGATATGGAACAGAATAATAATAGTAATAATGGTGTTGAATACGATAATAACGATATTGAATACGAAAATGATAATAGCCTACATATGACAAGACATAAGTATGTCACACTTATGCAGTTTTATGCTTATCGTTTACAAGTACAAAAAGAAGAAGGAGGAAAATTGCACCTAGCAGGCCATCTATTTTAGCAATATATTGTAGATGCCTATGCTATTATTAAACAAAATCATCTAAATTTTGTAAAAATTAATCAGAAAAAAATTTGTGCTAAGCTCTATCAAGATAAGTATATGAAGGCAGAAATTTCCTTACGTATATTATTTGTTTCTAATTATCTATTCTTATTAATTAACAAGCTTACAGGATGTAATGCAGACTGCAGACGTGCTACAAACTGGAGAAATAGGTCAGCGAATTATCCTTCCATCAACGTTTACAGGAGGCCCTCGCCAAATGCACCAACTCTATCAGGATGCCATGGGAATCGTACGCTGCATTGGAAAGCCAGATCTCTTT